CAAATTAATACTATTCTTAATTGACATTAACTGTAGTAAAATAATTCACTTAAACGTATGTTGTAACCTGATCAAACAAAAAAATTAAGTACAGCAAAGCAAAATATCGTGAAACAGTGAGTAAATATATTCACTCTAGTAGGGTGTTTATTTACAGGTTTATTTGTTATGGGGTAACCTCTTCCATCACCTGCTGGATTGACAGAAACAAGTTCTATTTTAAAAATTCATTAGTTTTAAGCTAACTTGCCCACATGAAATCACTCTTACAAATCTACAATTCAACCATTTTTTATTGCATACTATGTATTTATAAGGTCAATTCTAAGATTCAGCTGCCAATATAGCCATCTTTTGGATGACATATGGCAAGATCTCCAACTCCTTTCAGCTTTGGAAATTTACATCTGCCTGTTCATTCAAGATGCTGTGTATACATGTGTTGACAAATACAGAAAATAGCAGATGGCAAAAAGCAAATGCTCAACATGAAGCACTGGGGATTGTTTGAAAATTATTTGGACTCAGACATTTGCCATTTTTAACAGCAGAATACTGTTTCAAAATAAATTCCACCATCTATTATGCTTAATGCTAATGAAGAGCTGTGATCAGAACACTGACAATTACAGAATGAATGTTATATAAATTGCAGTTGGTATCTGTTGTGGTTTAAACCCAGTCAGGTAACTCGTTCACTCACTCCCTCCCTTCTTTCCCTCCCCCTACTCCCAGAGGGACAGAGAGGAGAATCAAAAAGAATGCAACTCCCACGGGTTGAGATAAGAACAGTTTAGTAACTAAGGTATAACACAAATCACTACTGCTACCACCAATAATAACAGTGATAAAGGAAATAACAAGGGAAGAGAATACATCACCTCACCACCAGCCAACCGATAACTCGCCCCACCCCACCAGACCAGGCACCCACCCATACCTCCTCCAACCCTGCAGACACCCAGCCCTTCCAGCTCACTCCCAGCTATATCCTGGGCATGACGTGCTGTGGTACGGAATACCTCTTTGGTCAGTTTGGGTCAGGTGTCCTGTCTCTGACTCCTCCTGGCTTCCCCTCCTCCCTGGCAGAGCATGAGGCTCACAAAGTCCTTGGCCAAACCAAAACATCGCTATCAGCTCTGTTCCCAGGCCAAAAGTCAAAACACAGCACTGCACCAGCTACCAAGAAGGATAAAAATGACTGCTACTGTTGAACCCAGGACAGTATCCAAGATGCAAGTTGCTTTATGACCTTTAGGATTTTAAGATAATTATCACAGTACAATTCTTCAGGAGCTTAACCTGTGCTGCTACACATAAGCCAGAAAACTTTCTGTAGTGACCACATAATTTGACACGAAATCTTTTAACACGCAATACACAGCTGTGCTCATCCAGCCTCTAAACTGGAATTACTCTGGTGACTGGTTACTACCATAGGACCTAAAAACGCGTGTATGTAGACCTGTTCTCTGCCTGCATGAGTAATACTACTAACTTCTACCACCACCACCATCTCCAACAACAGCTTTAGAAAACCAAAATGAACAGTGCGTCAGATATGTGAAGCTGCCAAGAGCTCTAACCTGGGGAGCAAGGCAGTTACTTTGTCTAGACAGGATGCACAGGCAAGACAAGAATTCTATCCAGTGCTATACTCTCTACTAACAATGAGCCCTGGATACCTAGCAAATAATACCAGGATAGAACAAACATACAGCACCTCCCTTATATATTCCAGTATTATTTGGAAGTCTGTAACTACTTGAACCTCTGAATCAGAGAGAGTATCTTCTGTGTTAACATGCTATGGTACACTTTCAAGAAAGTCTTAAAACTTTTTCAACCATGGAAGCCCTTAGACTCAACATCATCTGTGGCAATAACTTTCACACTGTAATTCATCATGACTTGACTTCACGAACGAAGATTTGGGAAGGGTTTTATCCACGCTTACTACAAGCACGCCGATGACTGAAAAGGCCAATGTGGGATAGGCAAATCCGGTTGCAAAAAGCACAGTGAAAGGTCTCCTTGGGTGGTATAGGCGGGGCACGATTCTTTCTACTTTGTCTTTTCTCCTCAAGACTAATTCTGCGTGAGTTCTCAAAGGAGACAACAGAGTTATGGGGCGACCAATGTCCTGAACCGCCTGCACGCAGGCTGTTCCAGTGCACCTTATCACCTGCCGTTTCGTCCCTCGCCTGTCGCTACAGGGCTTTGCAAGTGTGGGTAAACCCTTCAGGCCTGCGCAGTGGATTTTTTAGGTGAGGCACAGCGTGCACAGAACTGGCCCTACCCTTTAGGCCTGAGGTTTATCTGCCAGGGCCTAGTGAGCTTGGACAGTGACAGCAAAGTCCTCAGGTCATAGGTTTGATTAGAGTATCCTTCTCTTAGATGGATGGCCTTACAGAGCTACACAAGCTCCATTTGCCTGGGTTTGAAGTTAGAGTTGTCTTTCTCCTAGGATAGTTGTCCGAAGGCTAGTGAGACCATCCTGCTCATGGACACACTTTGACTCTTCAGTTGAGACCTGTCTGGCATGGGAGACACTACCGGAAGCATATGCTACCACCAGCATACCTCCCAACCTCACAAGGGCATGCAAGCTCCTTCCCCATGACAAGGGGGTGTCCGTGAAAGAGACAATGTAACTATGTTCTATGTATATCACGTTTTAGTGAAGGCATGTACTGTAGCTTCTGGTCACTCCTATAGCCAATGAGGTTTTTAAGGTAAAAAAAAAAAAAAAGTGTTTAAATGCCACCATGCTTGAAAAGACTGAAAAGACTTTAACTGTACTAGGGGCTCTGTTAATATGTAGACAAACAAGTAGAGTCTGTAACAGTTCAGCTAAAATAAAGATGACTATAGGGAGACAGGATATGGTAACAGCAACTGACAAGCAGCAGATCTGCCTTGGAGAAAACACGTTCAAGTAAACACGAGCGCCACTTTTTAGCCAAGAGATCCATCTCAGATAGCAAAAGAATTCTGATCCAAACAGCAAAAGGGAGAAAAATAAAAGTATCTTCATTTTCTCTTCACATGTCTGAGTTTTCAAATAAAGAGCACTAACCAATCATTTTGAAATGTACAGGTTCTGAAGAAAAGCTTGCATACTGAAATAATAGTTTCATCTTCTAAAACTATAGCTGTAAACAGACAGTTGTAAACTCCAACTATTCTCACTTCATACATTTCAGAATAACTACATGGAAGTACAATGCTATAACACAAAAGATCAGTTTCAAGTAAAAAAAAAAAAAAAAAAATCACACAGGAAAAGCACTGTTAGTTTCAGTTCTGTTCAGAGCAAACAGCTCTGAACAATAATTCACATATAATTTTAATTCCCTTAGTATAGTTAGATTCATAATGAAAGAAATATATTAATTCTATTACAGTATTCACTTTAAACCAGCTCCCTACCTTAACCAAAAAAGTGTTATACACCATAGTCTCCCTACTGTTTTCATTAAGAACAAACAGGTTACTATTAATATTTGATTCACATTTTACTAGTAATTCAGTAAAGTAAACATTAGGAGATCCAAGAAAACAGCTATTTCCATTAAGAGCAGAACTAAGCATCTTGGGTTCCAAAGTGACTCTTCTGATATTTAATAGTGAGGACTAAGAGATTTAGATTCCGCCTGCAAACACCTTGTACATGGTCGAAATTTAAAACTCAAAGTACACAGATCAGTTTCAAAGAAATGAGTTAGTGGGAAGCACTGAGGAATAGATGGACAGCAGGATTTCTTAGCAAATTCAACTGAAGAATATAAAAAAGGGGAAATTTGGAACATACCAGTGAAATGACCATTAAAACAGTTTTCAGAGGGGCTAGAAATATAATAAATAATGAAACAGCAAAACCAAAACAAAACCAATCAACCAACCAACCAACCAAAAACCCTCAAACCCACCCATTAATTTATTTCAACTCTAACAAAACTCAGTTTCTGACTTTGTCTTTACCTCACTTCAAAATCCCAACTTAGCACCTTCAAATCTAACAGCTCAAACCAAGCAAGAGCAGCTGCACATATACTCTCTAATGCCTTGCCAATACTGACAGTCTAGCTAGCAGCTAGATAAAGGAATATATAAAAACTGAATTCTGCTCACCTTTCTTCCTCCCTATCAGGCTGTCATTTTCAAGAAACACAGGAATTTAGTTACCTTGGGAATTCTATCTGCTTATCAAATTTATCTGAAAATGGTCAGCAATATATAAAAAAGCCCACCCCATTTTCCTCAGAAAGCCAGGCCAAAGCATCTTCTGAGCACAAAGGCTGAATTCAGGAGAAAGAGTAAAACAGAACCACCAAGAATTCTATGAAGTAATCTGATAAGGATTCAAAATTCTTATGCAGATAAAGCAGGAGCACAGGAAAAATTAAGAGAATCCACAGAACAAGAAGTCTTAATGTATGACCAAGGACATGACTCCACAAAAATGCACCAGAAACTTTCAAATAAAATCAATATTATGCTATTTTCCTCCTAGATATTTTCTATTCCATTACTGAAGAAGGAAGAACTTCACTTTGCTCTTTGTACCTGGTCTTTTTATATTCAAGAGTTGCATTCACCACACACAGCTGTAAATATAACAGTAAAAACCACAAGTATCAATTACTAAATTGCATGACCATGTGTTACAAACAGTGACCTTTTTTGACTGGTGCACCTGATTATCCAGCATCAGATGATCAAGTGCTTGGCTCAGTTCATTCATGAATGTTTAGCAAAGCTGGGAGACGTATTGTTTTGGAACTGGAACACCACAATCCCTCTTTGCAAAATATAATGATCACTCAAACTCCAGAAATTTATTTCCAACTTAAACCAGCCTCAGTGAGCTGATATTATAAATATACTCAGATAAACCATATTTATACCAAAAATGTGGAAACAAAACCTGCAATTATTATCTTATTAGTTTATACTTTTTTTTTTTTGCACATCTTAAATAACAAAAGTTTACTTACTAATAGAGCAAGTCTTTGATACTTCCGTTTTAGTTCTGCCAGACTATCCGATGGCTTAGCACCCAGGATTTCATACCAGTTCTTTTGTGTAATGCTTTCAAAGGCCATAGTCTGACTGGCTTTGAAATGATTTTCTTGGCACTGTGTTAAGAAAATTTAATAAATATAATAACAATCTGAACAAGAAAGAGTTAGAAAAAGCAAAAATGAGTTAATGTGACAAGCTACAGGATCATGAAATCACACCTCCACCACTGTGTAAGATCTACAGCACAAAAAACCAGGCTGTTCCATCGCACAGATTGTTGTGCATCATTTAAGTTACTTCATGCTTCTGATCCCAGTTCCTTAGTATATAATGCTTCAGAAGCCATCCATATGCCTTTAAAATAATTTTGTATTTGAACTATTTTGAGTCTACCTAGGTTATATATGCACTTTACATATATATATATATATATATACACATACACACTTTTTAAAAATACTTTATTTTGAACCAGTACTTTACTGGGGGGAGGGAGGGGTTGTAAGAGCAAGTAGTGACAGGACAAGAGATAACAGATTTAAACTGAAGGGAAATTGAGATGAGATCTTAGGCAGAAGTTCTTCCCTGTAAGGGTGGTGAGGCCCTGGCACAGGTTGGACAGAGAAGCTCTCGCTGCCCCATCCCTGGCAGCATTCAAGGCCAAGCTGGACAGGGTTTGGAGCAACCTGGTCTAGTGAAAGGTGTCCCTGCCTGTGGCAGGTGGGACTGGAAGCAGATGAGCTTTGTAAGTCACTTCCAACCCAAACCAATCTGTGAGTCTATAACCCTCCTTCATCCTGCTAGGTAAGGTGGCTTAATTTTTAAAATATTAAAGTAGAAAAGCATATTAAAAAAACAAACAAAAGTAAACTAAAATCTATCAGTTTAGTATAAGTCACTAAGTAAAACCTAACTAGTTTTTTTTTTTTATTTTTGGCCACCTATCATCAAGTTAATGACCCAGAATTAAAATAAAAATAAACAGAAGAATTAAATGTCACTAATAGCACTGTAATGCTTGAGCTCTGAGCAGATTCACTGATATACTGTAGCTGATATATCATGAACTTTTTGACTAGAAATAACACCATCAGCACAGAAGAGCTTTTGTAAGTCTGCAGGTTTTGTAAATCATACTTACTGTAGGAAGAAAGGGTGTTGGTTTGTTTTTTTTTGTTTTTTTTTTTTTTCCCCCCATTTCAGCACTAAAACAACTTTCTGGTGACTACAAAATAAATATTTTCTTTCAAGGGATAAGAAAAATGGGTTTTCACACTTGGCAGAACTACAAGGATAAGGAAGGCACACCACGCACACATACCTTCACACGCCTTTCCCCACGAAGATCCCCTTCGTCCCAGAGCACCCACCGAGGTTTTTAAGATCACACCAAGCCGCCGGCACCGCCCGGGGGCCACGCTTCCCCGCCGGAGCCCCACCGCCCCGCAGGAAGCGGTCGCTGCGCCACAGCGGGCCCACCCCTCAACAACGGCTCCACGCCGACCGGCACGGCGGACACAGGGGCTCGGCAGCGAGAGGCGACCGAAACAGCCCGCCGAGGGAGGCCTGCGAGGCCGAGGAGGCCCCGCAGCACGCCGCGCCCTGCCGGAGGCTTCCCGGCACTACCACTACCGCCACCGGATCGGCGCGGGAAGACCCCCCCCCCGCCTTCCTGCCTAACTTTCCCTCCTCCGCCCATCTATTCCCGATCGCTGGCACCGGCAACTGGCAGTGAAAGGCCCCACGGCTACACCGAACACCTACCTACCCTACACCGCCAGCCCGCAGATGAAGGCAGTTGGTACTGTACATAACTCGTCCGGCGGGAAACAAACCCTTCCGAGTGCCGCCTTAGAGCCTTTAAGTTGGAGGAGGGGGTGGAGCGAGAGCGGGAATAGCGGAGCGTGTTATTTAAGGGGCCGCCTTCCCCGTTTCCCTTGGGGCAGTAATAGTGTTGCCACTGGGAGGAAATGGAGCTGTTGGAGGCGTCCGACGCCGTCACCATGGTGATTGGTAGCGCTGCGCTGCGCTCAGTAAGTGACGGCGCCAGCCGCCCTCCAGTGCTCGTTCCAGGCCCGGGGCCGGCGCGTTTCACACAGGCTTTTGCCTCAGGGATTCTGTCTCCAGGTGCGAGAGAACACTGAGGTCCCTCTTGTCTTCCCTCCTTCCTTCTCTCTCCCTTACTCACTGCGTGGGGGTCCCTTTCCCTTCGGAGGCTCCACCTCCGGGACGTACCGGGCTCGTTTTGGCTTTCATTGTTATAGCTCACCCGACCCGGGGTCAGAGCTTGGCTCCGGAGCCTTTTGGTTCCGCTGAGCGCGGAGGGAACAGGGAACGGGTCCGTCGGTCCCCAGGGGGCGGCTCGGCATGGCATTCTGCGCCGGGCTCAATCTGCCTAGCTGCTTCGGGCAGGGAGGGTCCGGGAGGAAACTACGGGCTTAACCGCTTTCTCCTCTCCCTTACAAGCTGTTCTGATCTGCTAGTTTCTTTGTAGAAAGTGCTTGTCCTAAGGGGGAAGGAAGAGCATCCTCTTAATGGAAAAAACTATGCTCAGGAAGCAGACCTTTAGTGATGTAATTATGCTTCCTCTTACTGAAAAAAAAAAAAAAAATAAAAAAGCTTAGGCTGGTACTGGAGACTTCATATTTTGTGATCGCAGTGATTCCTCATTAGCAAAATTCCTAATTATTAGTCCAGATAAACTCAGGTCACACTATGCCTTAAATGCGGTGCATACTTCCTTTGACAATATTTTTATGCAAGGTGTTGGAATTAAGCCAACTGTTTGTCAGTTTTCATAGCCTTTGAACTGGTTCAGTACAGCAGTAGCGAGGCTGGACTGACATTGATGTGGAGAACTGGAGGTGTTGTCCTGGCACACTGTTCCCCTTAACCACCAGTACAGGAAGGGTGCGGAACAATCAGAGTTGGCTAATAGACACGGGGAATTTATTTAAAGTTTAACATGGATGATAGAGAAACAAGAGACTTTCTGAGGTAGTGAGAAAAGCATTAAATCTACAAAGCTACTCAAGGCATATATGCCAGTCTGATTATTGTCTATCCTGGTCATCAATATGTTTCTACAATGCAGCCATCAGGTTAATATTTTGCCCTTCTCTGCACTGTTGCAGGTGAGGCCAAATTTGTAGCATGAGTGTCCATAGCTGTCTAAAGTGAAAAACTTGCCTGTGCACTGGCACAAGACATGGATGAGTCCTGAAATCATCCAGCTCCTTCTGTTGAAGTGCTGTTAACTCTGCAGCACCAGTGCGCCTAATTGTGTATTTCACTGAAGTCATTGCATTACAGATGAGATGTATCGAGTGTGAGCTAGTCTATGTAGTCCCTTTTGAAATTAGAATTCAGCTCTTGGGCAAAAGTTTTGGCATGAATTATCCTCTTTGTTTTGGCTTGTAATGAGCCCATATACAACATGGAATAGGCCCATAGCACTTAGTGTATTTTCTTCAGCCGTTGAGTGGGGCTGACATGTGAAGGAGTACTGTTGTGAAGGGGAACAAATTAAAACTGTAAAAGGTGCAGTGGGATCTTGCAGATTGATTACTACATCAGTAACAGTTTACAAATGGTTAATATCCTCTTACAGACTGGATATGTTTACAATATCCATTCTCATCCTTTATGCCCCAAATGCTGAAATGTTGCATATAGAGATTTTTTCCATTTTAACTCATTACAGGATTGGTGCTTAAACTGATTTATTTAAGGGATTGTGAGCATTTGTATCCAATAGTATAATTATCTGTAATTAGTTGTTCGTTATAAAGTTCACTATAAATGTTAAGGCATTATCTCTGAAGTCAGTAGAACAGTTTTGGAAGTGAAAAACTAATTTATTTTTTTTCCCTGTGAATATTCATCAGTCCTGCCAAAGTAAAAGAAAATGGGCTGTCTATTATAATTCATGTTCTTGGACTGCAAAATCCATGAACTATAAAATGAAATCATTGCAGGATTATCTGGCCTTGCGGGTATTATAATCTCTGTGTCTCAGTTTGTCTTTTAATCTATCCAGTTTCAGAAATCACAATGTTCTGTTTGGGTTAGTCTTAGCTAATCATACTCTGGTTGTAATGGCTTTTGAAGCTGTTGCTCAATCTCAAGCTAATGTGATAATCTTTCATCACTGCAGATATCAAAATGAAGTTAGTTCAAGATTTATTAAAATCCGTTGAGTGTGTAGGGGAGAGAGAGCAGTGCAAAGGAGACTGAACTCAAATGTTACCTATTGCTTTTGGCAGCCACTGGCTGGTAAGCCAGCATACAGTTCAAACTAGCCATAAGTTTTGCTGCTTTTCTTCATTCTGACAGCGAAGCAGGTGATAGGCAAGTGTGGGGAACTTACTATAAAAGTCTATGATGTGTGGAGACGGACAATGAAATCATGGAGATGTGGGAGTGCTGTTCCAGAATGGGAGGCATAGGGCCCGTGTCTGTAAGAAACCAGGTTTAATTGGTTGTGTGAAGTATCTTAAATTATTATGTAAGTTTGTACAGATGCTAGGAATTTGACAAGATCTGGCCACCTAAACACAGTAAAAAGTTTTCGTAGAATAGAATTATAGAATAGTTAGGGTTGGAAAGGACCTTAAGATCATCTAGTTCCAACTCCCCTGCCATGGGCAGGTGTCGTGGTTTAAACCCAGTCAGGTAACTTGTTCACTCACTCCCCCCCTTCTTTCCCTCCCCCTACTCCCAGAGGGACAGAGAGGAGAATCGAAACGAATGCAACTCCCACGGGTTGAGATAAAAACAGTTTAGTAACTAAGGTATAACACAAATCACTACTGCTACTACCAATAATAACAGTGATAAAGGAAATAACAAGGGAAGAGAATACAACACCTCACCACCAGCCAACCGATAACTCGCCCCCCCCCCCCCCCCAGCCCGACCAAGCACTGACCCACACCTCCTCCAACCCTGCAGACACCCAGCCCTTCCGGGTAACTCTCAGTTATATCCTGAGCATTTCGTGCTGTGGTATGGAATACCCCTTTGGCTAGTTTGGGTCAAGTGCCCTGTCTCTGCTTCCTCCCGGCTTCCCCTCCTCCCTGGCAGAGCATGAGGCTCACAAAGTCCTTGGCCAAACAAAAACATCATTGTTATCAGCTCTGTTCCCAGGCCAAAAGTCAAAACACAGCACTGCACCAGCTACCAAGAAGGAGAAAAATGACTGCTACTGCTGAACCCAGGACAGCAGGGACACCTCACACTAAACCATGCCACCCAAAGCTCTGTCCAAAAGCTCTGTCCAACCTGACCTTGAACACTGTCAGGGGTGGAGCATTCACAACTTCCCTGGGCAACCCATTCCAGTGCCTCACCACCCTTAGAGTAAAGAAATTCCTTCTTATATCCAGTCTAAACTTCCCCTGTTTAAATTTGAACCCATTACCCCTTGTCCTGTCACTACAGTCCCCAGTGAAGAGTCCCTCCCCAGCATCCCTATAGGCTCCTTCAGATACTGGAAGGCTGCTATGAGGTCTCCATGCAGCCTTCTCTTCTCCAGGCTGAACAGCCACAACTTTCTCAGCCTATCTTCATACGGGGTGTGCTCCAGTCCCTCGATCAGCCTTGTGGCCCTCCTCTGGACTTGTTCCAACAGTTCCATGTCCTTTTTATGTTGAGGACACCAGAACTGTACACAATACTCCAAATGAGGTCTCACAAGAGCAGAGTAGAGGGGCAGGATCACCTGCTTTGGCCTGCTGGTCACGCTCCTTTTGATGCAGCCCAGGATACAGTCGGCTTTCTGGGCTGCGAGCGCACATTGAAGCCAGCTCATGTTCATTTTCTCATCAACCAACACCCCCAAGTCCTTCTCTGCAGGGCTGCTCTGAATCTCTTCTCTGCCCAGCACCTGTAGCTGTGCCTGGGATTGCTCCGACCCAGGTGTAGGACCTTGCACTTGCCATGGTTAAACTTCATAAGTTTGGCATCAGCCCACCTCACAAGCATGTTTTCTTCTTTTTTAGTGTAAGATACTTTATATGTAGGTTGGGTTTTTAGACACTTTTTGTGGGTCTATTTACACTTAGTAGGTGCTTTATTTAAAACTACATCATAGTATTGTGCTGTGTTATCATACAGGTGTAGGAAAAGAGTTATTGAAAGAATTAACTGGACTACTGTTTAGCAATGGACCAGCCTCTTACGATTTTATTCTTTCAAGAAACAGCTGAAACATACAGACTTGCTTTTAACTTCATATTTTACTTCTGAAGCCAACTGCTATATTCCAAAGTGTTGTTCAGAGTAATAAAGCTTTGGGTTTGCTTTTTTTGTTTGCATTGGTTTTATATTGCTATACATATATATATACACAAAAGCTATGCACAGGTTACCCAAAGTTCCGAAGGCAAGTCTATTTAATGTTACTGAGCATCTAGGGTATTCAGACTATTTGAGAAATTGTGATGTTTGCAACATATACACTTTTATATTTGGAAAGGCAAAGTTATTTAGTATAATTCCTATATGGACAAGCAAGTTCCTGACCGGACAGCACTTGTTAAACTCAAGCTTCCACTGTAGTGCTGTTCTTGATACAAAGCACTGCACATGAATTAGTCTGTTAGCTTACTTGTTTATTTCTTCAGTGTTTTTCTG